CAGTATAATTCGACTTCTTTCTGAGGGCCATTTACAATTTCTTAATATATTGGCTGGGAATGCATACTGTCGCTGTTCTACGGCATACATTAGGCATACAGAGTAAATAGAATCACTTCCATCCGCAAGCACACGGTATGTGACACAGGGTGCAGGCGGTACTCGACTGCTGGTGTCATGGGCATGGCGACAACCATTGCAGGCTAATTTATTTGACGCAATTGTGAAAACCTCGGTGGGATTCGAACCCGGTCAAGCAAGGTAAAGCCTTTAGTATAGCGAACAATCTAGCCAGTTGAACTACAAAACCCCCACTGGGCGTCGTGAGTTTAATCACACTCCGGCCAATTTACCCGTCCCAGCCCCCTGAAACGTTTGATATCCACCAATTCTGAGACAAGTGGGTCAAAGAACCGAACCTCCCTAGCATTTAGACTGCGTTTCTCAAAGCCCTGCCTTTGAGGCAAGTCCTTGTCGTACTCAAAGGGCTCCTTGCCGACGTACATTGAAGTTCATGTCGATTTAAGTTATTAGACCGGTGCTTCTAAAGAACTTAATCGCCTACAGATGACTTCCTTACGTTTTTTATAAAGTTTCTATCCTGCTTACACATCATTCTCTCAGCAACTTATTATATTTACGCGGGTCGCCGCACGGTTACAGACATAACTTTATTATTCAACCGAAGAACAAGGCTGGCACTCTCTCCTGTCCTATTTCCACAGAATTGTTCCATTAAATACGTTAATTTCTCTCTGGACTGCTTCGACTGCAGAATCTACCTCAGTTTCTGCCAGAGGAATTTGCCGTGCGCTCAGCCAGTTTATTTGGTGTAAATGACAGAAACCCTTATGAACTCCATTGAAACGGTACAGGAATGCATAAAAAGTAGTCAATATGCGAATTTGTTACAGGTCGCTTTGTTATGCAAAAATAAAAAAAAAACATATTTGGCGACTATGAATGATTAAAAAGTCGAGGCGTTTGCAAAATGGGAGCGCTTAACACTTTCACTGCATTTAACTACGAAAGTTCATTTGAGGTAACTTTAATGCAAACAGAAGTTCTATTGAAATCAAGAGAGTAGTCAGTTTTTGTCATCTATATTATCTGTTAGCCAGTGGTTTGAATGTTTGGGTTGACTTTTAAGAGCTGATTATCCAGACGTCCCTTGAACACGCTCACAGTGAGGGAATGCACAACAGGCGTTCGCAAAGAGTTCCAC